TCCCCACCCAGCTGTGTGTCTTGCCAGTGCTGCTGGGGCTGGTCTCCACAGAAACCCTGGCCCCGCATTATCATGGTGCTGCTGCTGTTGGGGCCTCCATGGAAATTGGCCACAGCAAAACAGGCAGGGTCTGCTGGGAAATGGAATCTGCTGTTGGCCCGATCCGGCTCATGGGTCAAACTTTGCCCACCCCTGTCCTAACACATGTAAAATAATGTAAAAAAAAAATTCTTCCAAAACAGGAAGGCTGAAGAGCTACTGATGAGATCCCCATATAGTAATTTGACAGCAGGTACGGTCTTTCCCATTCAGCCATGCACTAAGTTGATTTCAGTAGCTGAGTGGTAATAGCCACCATCATCATCCTAAAGTAATTCCTGGATCCTGCCTGGGTTTAAATATGACATAGTCACCCAGCTACTCAACCCTCCGTTCTTGGGGACATTTAATTTTAAGAGCATGTATGGCTATGGAACTGCAGGGGTGCAGACACCTGACAACTACCCTGGATACCATTTACTCTGGGTTTTACTCCATAGCACAGAGGAGGCAGATGCCCAGCTCTTCCAAGCAAGCTACCTGCAGGAGGCACTATTACAGGACTTGGCCAATGAATGTGGGAGGGAAACCATTTTACTTTAAGACATGGCTGTCTAATTTTGGCACAGCCTGGAACTGCACACTTGCAGGTCCTCTGCTGTGGTGTGTAGCCTCCCTGCACTCCAGACTGCACAGTGGTGTATGGCACGACATCTGCCACCATGCGGCCAGCACTGACTGCATGCAACATCCCCTTCTTCTCCCCAGGCTCTCCCCTGTCATAGGATCCATGGGTCACATATTAACCACTAGTTATGGTAATTGCCATGTTGTAGTCGTACTGAGTTCTTTGCAACAGAAGCATTGCTCCTTTATTCTGTAGTAAAACAATGAGTGAAAACTAAGAGCTGGCATTGAGAGGTGACTCAAGTCCCACGAGAGTTGCTTCAAGTCAGAAAAGGTTGAGAACCACTGAACTATAGATTCTTATTTGAAATCTCTGGGTTTCTCTTGTGAATTATGTCCAGATATTGGCACACCTAACAGTGCTAATATTGTGTGGAATTCTACAATACCCTTAAAAAGATCCTTGGCATCCTGATTGAGAACTACTGCTCTAAGGATATGTCTACACCACTTCATTTGCATCTTGCATCTGGGAGGAGCCCAAGCATATTCCACCCACTCATGTAGTCTACCCTGAAACACACCAGTGAAGATGCTCTGGGACATCCCTCTACAGCTGCACTCTGGGTCTTGTTCTTCAGTGCTTGAAAGCAGTCATAGCGGGATTCCCCAGCTCATCTTCACTGGTACATTTCTGGTTTTGGAGCATGTGAGTAGATGGGCGGGATGGAGGCAGGGCTGTCCCAGGTGATAATGTGTTATAGACAAACTGTAATAGGTACAATCCTTTCCTAAATTCCACTAATTTTAATTCTATAAGAGAGGCAGTGATTCCTAGTAGTCAGAGTATTTAACTGGGATCTGGAAGGTAGGTGCTCTATTTCCAGCTCTTCTGCCAACATGCTGGGTGACCATGGGCAGGATGCTGTCCCTGCCCATACTTGAGTTTTCCCATCTGTAAAATGGTATTAATGCTACCTCTCCGTAAAGCAGCTTACCTCTAATGCTGAAAGATGCTATGTGAGAGGCAGGGAACAGTACTGATTTAACTGTGGAATCACCTTGAGATGCAGGTTATTGATAGACATTATGCCAGAGTCCTCAACCTTTTTGGACTTGATTACCCTTCACTGGACTCGAGGCAGACCCCCCATAACTTTTGTGAATTGAGTGGCACTCAATTTCAAAAGGGAATTTATATATTACTGTGCTTACTTCCTCGCAGAGGGGCTGGCCAGTGGGGGTGGGGTATCATTCAGATAGGGACAAGCCTGAGCCTACATTTAGCTTATCTACTTACCACCTCACACTTCACTTATCTCCTCACACCTCTGGCACCCTTCAAAGGATCTGGCAGAACCCCAACATGCCCTAGGGCCCTACTTGAGAATCACTGCAGTATGCAAACATCAAGTCGTATTATGCTGATGAAGAAAAAGCATTGCCTGTATGATTAACCTAGGCCTCAAGAAATGTCACACAAGGCACATCTAGAGAGAGGGCACATCATTCTGGTTATCTGTCCCCCACTGTGGACTTTGTTTCACATATGCGCATGAGGGGGGAGAGGTACACAGCTGCAGCGGGCTGCCATCCAGTTGAACAGTTATCTATGGAGGGGGCGGGGGATGCTCCATGCCTGGGAACATTCACTGTCTCTGCCTGACCCTCCTCCTCTCTGCTGCTGTAGTCCAGAATTTCACAGATGTTCCTTCCAGAGGAGGCAGCTGCAGCCCACAGACTCCGTCAGCTCAGTTCCCTTCCTCCCTGGTGGTCTGACTCCGCCCTTTTATGACCTAGTTGCCTATCCTTCCTCCCCTCCCTTTCCAAGGACTGAGTAGTAGCAAGAGGAAGAGGGATCATTCTAGTGGCTGCTCATTCACCTCTTCCCTTGACTCCTCCCTGCGAGAGACTCAGAGGCTCCTCCTGGGGAGAGCATTCAATCTCCCCTTCCCCCTGGCCTCTGTGATCCTGAATTACAGTGATTTTAAACAACATCCAAACAGCCCAGAAAGAATGCTAGTAAATAGTTAGTCCTAATTTATAACTCATAAATGCTCTTGGAGGTAGTTTGTACCACAGTCTGCAGCATAATGTAGCTCTGCTGCTTTGCTTTTTCACTGGTTCAGCAAAAAATCCCTCACATATATATTAAGGAGTATACATTGTTCTTCCCCCAAGGTCTTTCTCACAGGGCTACCTCTGTTTCTTCACTCATTTAAGATCTGTGTGTATTCACACACTTTGTTAAAGTTTATTTGGAAGTCCAAGTTTTAGGGCAAAACAGTAAAGCAGAAGAATGCATCATTTCAAGGCTGTTCTGGCACTACACTGAATTGACAGGTGTACCTACTGCACAGATACTTGAACCAGCTTTAATCTAGTATGCGTAGTATGCGTAGACACCTATATCAGTGAAACCATGTCAGCTTGGGTTTCACAGTGGACTGTCCAAGCCAACCAGTGACACATCGCACTTACTGCATTGGGTAGCCCAGTGCTCCTAGGGTAGCCCAGTCCATGACTCCTACTGTCGCTGGTTCTGAAAGATAGTGTCATGGATTTCAGCATAGGTCAACTGCCTAAGGATGACAGCAGGCTTGCATAGCCCATATTTTAACTTAAGGGGACAAGCTAGCAAGGGCATGCTTATGCATTCTGCTGTGCCCAGTGCTGTTCTTAGGCTCTTTGTTTTTGATATGCTTATTTGCACATGCCTAACACCATTCCAGGGAAGCTACACTGCCTTGTTTCCAGGATTTGGGATACAGAGTGGGAGTGACTGGGTATGGTGTGCTCTATGGCAGTAGCCCAAGGCACAATGCAGAGGCAGTAGAGACCAACACATTTTTGTACTACAGTGGTAATAATGTTTTGGAATCTATAGGGTTACATTTGTGCAAACCATTGGTGTGGACATAATTATACCAGTTTAGCTCTTCTCTTAAACACACACACACTTTTATATTGAAATAACTACATCTGGTCTAGGGGTTCCTTTGATTTATCTATTTCAATGAAAAAAATTACATGCTTTACTGAAATAGATGAGTACAAACCCTGCTTATAGACCAGAGCAGATGTTGATTTGAGGCAAAGACTTTATGAAGCCAGCTTATTCCAATAAGACACAGCAAAATATTATATAGTGTTGAAGCATTAGCAGTTGCGACCCCACATGTGACATGGAAAACTGGCTGTTGGTGAATTTCTCAAAGCTAAAGTCGTCATATTCTGTATAATGCCATTCTTTTTTTTTTTTAACTGTCTTTGTATCCCACTGTTATCAATTTTTTTTTTAATTTTTAAATCATGAGGAAGACACAGTCCAGTCCTTCAATTAATGGTCTAATTCAAACAGCAAAGGTTGAGAGCAAAGGTTGAGAGTACAGGAGTGCAGCAACTGTTCAGACTATTGAGTCTAGACTAGTGTCCCAAAGCTCCACAGAAAAGGCACGTTTTTAGAAGGGATTTGACTGAAGAAAGGAAGATCAGTGTGGAAGCAGCAAGAGAGGCAATATTTTTACAGCAGAAAAATACAAGACAAGTCATATCCGTAGCATGTGTGTCTTCAGGGATCGAGATATGTAATTCCTGTTACTGTAGGTTGATTCAAGTTGCCCCAGTCTGTTACTGTAATACACGATAATGGCTACTGTGCATTTTTCAAGTCAAACAGTGGGTTAGTAGGGAGTAAACACCACTTCTTATCCATTGCCCATCTGTGGTCTAACCAATACCTGAGCCAAGCATGCTGGATGGCAAGAGGGAAAACGGGCTGACTGGAGAGAAGCTGTGTCCTAGCAAAACCACCACTGCTTTCTACCAGCTGCCTTGCCTTGCCATACCTACAATTTTTACGGCAGGTGTCTCTCCCCAGACACCTAAATCCAGGCTGTACCTGAAGTAACAGATCATGTGCAGCTATAGTCCATTTATTTACCTTCCTATATCTTGTAGGGAAAGTCAACCACCCACAATTTGTAGTTTTCCTTTCCCTGCTGCGCAGGCAACTATACCACTGGTATGGTACAGCCCAGGAGATTTCTGTCACACAGAGAGAGTAGCATAACTTAGGTCCGCCTAAGACTTATACTCCACAAGGGGCTGCAGACAAACAACATTTGTTGCACAATCCTCTCTGTATCATTGAGATAGCCCTGCCCTGCTGAATGGGTGGTGAGCAGAACAGTATATATCGCATATGTTTTGCAGTTCACTGGCTAAAGTGAATAATAGGGGAGAATCACTTTCCCTCCCAAAAAAAAAACACACCGGAAATAACAATGATAGTGGTTTAAATTAACCATTTTATTGTGGGGCTCTTTCCCCCTCCCCTTCTTTTTTAAAGAAAATGAAAGAGATAAATTTAAAAAGAAAATGTCATTAAAAAAATGTAAAAAAGAAAATCCTTTGTTAAAAAAATTCTAAATGAATATTTCTTAACCTTTTTTCAGCCTAAACAATTCAAGGAATTTGATACAAATCCCTGAATTGTTTCAGCTGAATTACAAAAAATGTTGCCTTAAAAATTTCACCCCATTTTAGAAATGTGTCAGATATCCAGGTTTAGATATTTTAGAAATGAGTGCTTGACTGGTTGTTGTGACTAGGAATAAACATTTATTAAATATGTAAACGTGTTATGTTCCTAAAGCACTTAAATACCTTTGAAAACCATACCCTTTACCTCAAAAGTACAGGTAAAGAGAAACATTTGACTTTTTTGTCCAGTAAATAAAGTTAACATTTGCCTTTATGCTTGTTACACAGTTGCTCTCTCTTGGGAACATGTGGATGACTTTATTCATAGGTAGCCTGAATGACTGACAGAATAAAGTACTATCCAAGAAGAAGACTGAAGATTCTCCCTCCTTGAAACAGTTGTTTGCACATGAATCTTTTGCTCTGCCTTTCTTTTAATTTGGGTTTAGGCAAGGTTACAATTGCATCTCTCTTATTTCTGTGACAGGTTGTTGTATTTCTCCTGATTTCCTTTCCTTGCTACATTTTAAGCATCAAACCTTCTTGGAAATTCTAGCTTCTAATCTGTACATCTGCTGGATAAAAAAGGCACGGAGATAAATTGAATGAATTTAGTAATTATTGAGAAAGAGGGTGATTAGAAAGTGCAATGTGTTACCATAGAAAATTTATGGCTGAATTCTGCCCTCTTTGTTCACCCAAAATTCCCACTGCCTTCAATGTATTAATAAGGAAAACAGTATCTTGTTTCAGGTCTTGGGCAAGCAGCAGTTAATACTGACCTACCTCAGGATTATAGGAGTTGATAATATGTTGCTCCTTTTTCAAATTTGGTAATTAAAATACAAAACAAAACAAAACCTCCCCATGATATCCTCCATTATAACTCATAACTATAGTTTAAGCCATAGGATCTGGAACAAATGGCAAAAAACCTGTTGACTGTAGAAATAAGAGGAAGCCACTAACTGAGCATTTTTATATGGCAAAGTTCTTCAGCAGGAATCTTAGATGTGCTGTGTGATCCACAGGTATTTACTAGTTTTACTTCTAGCACTATGAGAAAATATTCCAGATCACCTTTTCAGCTGATCTAAATGGGCATGTACTCAAGTCAATAGATATCAGAACAAAAGAAATGGGGTGATGTTAATTTATGCCAGTTATGGGTGCTTGCTTTAAATTTTGCAAACACTCCTAAGCATGTGAAGAAAGTGAATTGAATAGGAATGCTATTAAAGTCATTACAACAACAATTTTCCTTTTTTGGATAATAGGTATAGATATGTTCTTTCTTTCATTGTGCCTTTGTCAATTTGTAGTCAGTCACATTAAATATATCACACTTTAAAGCAGATTTGGGTTACCTGAAGGACAAAAAAAATTTGCTAATCTAAAGAAAATGTAAAGGAGAGGGAATTAAGAGAAGTAATATCAGTAACACACTGGAAAGTGCAGCAGATAACAAGCTATTATTCTGTGGCCATCATCTAATAATAAAGGGTCTGTGACCCTCTTGTTCCTATTTGATTTCTCACCTTTGTTATGGAATATGGGGCTGGATCCAACCTCCCTTGTTTCAAAGAGATTTTGCTTGAAGAAAGGACTCCAGATTACATCCAGGGTTGAGAGATCAGAAATAAAAAGCAGGAAGTAACAGTGCAGTGGAATGTAAAAACAAAAAGAAAGACTAAAGAATCACAAGAAAAAAATAATACAGTGTGCAGGGCTGGAAGATATAAAAGAAGAACAGTAGATCTGGTCCTGAATTCTGCAGAACTTGCTTGACCAAAACACCCGCTGACTACAAAATGCATCCATGTATTTACCCAGGCCAAAATGTTTGGTGGTAGAGGCCTGATTTTTAGAGGACAGAAGTCACTGTGATTTTGCCTTTGACTACAAGTGTTCACGGTTGCCAACATATGACACAAAAAGCCATATTTAGGCTCTTCAATTAAGTCATCTGTTTCCCGAAGGTGCTAAGCACCCACATCTCCGTAAACTGGCAGCTGTTGATGAAAGTGGGTATCCGAGGACCCCAGCCTGCTAAGCTTTTCAGCTACCTTTAAAACCCTTAAAAGCCTCGTAGGTGTCCCTGGGACCACTGGAGACACGTTCTGCCTCCAGTGTGTACGTGTTTGCAGGATCAGGGCCTAAGCATGAAG